AAAATAGTCACATTTAAGCATCTATTGGATTACTGTATTATGGTATTTATAATGATGAGGTACAAAAGTGTCTAGGTCTATGTTTGCATATAGTCTGGAAGACAAATCCTACACTTGCAGCATTTTAACAATTCTAATAGTGGCAGCTATTAGAATCTCCTAAACATCTTGACCTGTGAGCTTATATATTTCTTATTTATTTTTTCAGAAGTCTTAGAATCAAGAAAGGGACCAATATGCAAGTAGTGAACTGGCATAATATTTTTGTTAACACTTCATGCTTTGGTCAATGCCACAGTATTCTAGACTTCTAGTTAATAATTACAGTTAAAAATTACTAAGTGTTGTATTGCTAGGTATATTAGTCCATTTTCATACTGCTATGAAAAAATACCCAAGACTGGGTAATTTATAAAGAAAAAGAGGTTTAATGAACTGTTAGTTCCACATGGCTGGGAGGCCTCACAATCATGGCAGAAGGAGGAGGAGCAAAGGCACATCTTACATGGTGGCAGGCAAGAGAGAAGTACAAAGGAACTACCCTTTATACAACCATCAGATCTTGTGAAATGTATTCACTATCACAAGAACAGCATGGGAAAAACCTGCCACCATGATTCAATTACCTCCCACTGGGTACCTTCCATGACACATGGGGATTATGGAAGCTACAATTTGAAGTGAGATTTGGGTGGAGATACAGTCAAATCATATTATTTTGCCCCTGTCCCTCCCAAATCTTATGTCCTCACATTTTAAAACACCACGTGTCCTTCCAACTTTAATTTCTTGGGTACATGTGCAGAGCGTGCAGGTTTGTTACATAGTTACACACGTGTCATCTACCTTATGTACTTCCCCTAATGCTGTCCCCCACCCCATAACAGGCCCCTGTGTGTGATATTCCCCTCCCTGTGTTCATGTGTTCTCATTGTTCAACTCCCACTTATGAGTGAGGACATGTGGTGTTTGGTTTTCTGTTCTTGTGTTAGTTTGCTGAGAATGATGGTTTCCAGCTTCATCCATGTCCCTGCAAAGGACATCAACTCATCTTTTTTGATGGCTGTGTAGTATTCCATGGTATATATATATATATATATATATATATATATATACATATATATACGTCACATTTTCTTTATGCAGTCTATCATTGATGGGCATTTGGGTTGTATCCAAGTCTTTGCTATTGTGAATAGTGCTGCAATAAACATACATGTGCATTTGTCTTTATAATAGAATGATTTATAATCCTCTGGGTATATATCTAGTAATGGGATTTCTGGGTCAAATGGTATTTCTAGTTCTAGATCCTTGAGGAATCGCCACACTGTCTTCCACAATGGCTGAACTAATTTACACTCATACAAACTTTGTAAGAGCGTTCCTATTTCTTTTTTTCTTTTCTTTTTTTTTTGAGACAGAGTTTTGCTCTGTCTCCCAGGCTGGAGTGCAGTGGCATCATCTTGGCTCACTGCAACCGCTGCCTCCCAGGTTCAAGCAATTCTCCTGCCTCAGCCTTCTGAGTATCCTGGATTACAGGCATCGGCCATCATGCCCAGCTAATTTTTGTATTTTTGTAGAGACAGGGTTCACCATGTTGTCCACGCTTATCTTGAACTCCTGACCTCAGGTGATCTGCCTGCCTTGGCCTCCCAAAGTGCTGGGATTACAGGCTGAGCCACCACACCAGCCATTTTCTTTCTTAAAAACTTATTATCATTTTTTTATTTCAATAGTTTTTGGGTACAAGTGGTTTTTGGCTACACTGATGAATCACATAGTGGGTGAATTCTAAGATTTTAGTGTACCTGTCACCCAAGAAGTGTACATTATATCTAATATATAGTTTTTTATCCCTGGGCCCCTCTCACCCTCCCCCTTCTGAATCTCTAAAGTTCATTATATCACTTTGTATGCCTTTGCATAACTCATAGCTTAGCTCCCGCTTATAAGTGAGAACATAACAGTTTTTGGTTTTCCACTCCTGTGTTACTTCACTTACAATAATGGCCTCCAGCTCCATCCAAGTTGCTGCAAAGACTTTGTTTTATTCCTTTTAATAGCTTAGTAGTATTCCATAGTGGATAAATACCATATTTTCTTTATCCTTTAATTAGTTGATGCGGACTTAGGTTGGCTTCACATCTTTGCAATTGTGAATTGTACTGCTATAAACATATGTATTCAAGTGTGTTTTTCATATAATGACTTCTCTTCCTTTGGTTAGATACTCAAGTGAGATTGCTGAATCAAATGGTAGATCAACTTTTAACTCTTTAAGGAACCTCCATACTGTTTTCCATGGAAGTTTTACTAATTTACATTCTCACCAGCATTGTGTAAGCATTCCTTTTTCTCCACATCCACACCAATATCTATTGCTTTTTGACCTTTTTCTTTTTTTCTTTTTTTCTTTCTTTTTTTTTTTTTTTGAGATGGAGTCTTGCTCTGTCACCAGGCTGGAGTGCAGTGGCGTGATCTCACTCACTGCAACCTCTGCCTCCCGGGTTCAAGCAATTCCGCTGTCTCAGCCTCCCGAATAGCTGGGACTACAGGTGTGCATCACCACACCTGGTTAATGTTTTGTGTCTTTGTAGGTTTCACCATATTGGCCAGGATGATCTCTATCTCCTGACTTCTTGATCTGCCCTCCTTGGCCTCCCAAAGTGCTAGGATTACAGGCGTGAGCCACTGTGACCGGCTTTTTTTTGGACTTTTTAACAATGGACATTCTTGCAGGAATAAGGTGGTATCTCGTGGTGGTTTTGATTTGCATTTCCCTGATGATTAGTGATGTTGAGTATTTTTTCATGTTTGTTGTCCCTTTGTATATCTTTTTTTAAATAAGTGTCTATCCATGTCTTTTGCCCACTTTTCAATGGGGTTATTTATTTTTTTTCTTGGTGATTTGTTTGAGTTCCTTTTAGATTCTGGATACAAGTTCTCTATCGGATGTGTAGTTTGCAAATTATTTCTCCCATTCTGTGGCTTGTCTGTTTATTATTTCTCTTGCTGTGCAGAAACTTTTTAGTTTAATTACACCCCATTTATGTATTTTTGCGTTGCATTTGCTTTTGAAGTCATATACCAGTTAAACTCCATCATTTTGCCTCTTAGTGTTCATGCTTGAGCCTACTCACCCAACTTGTGAGATCTTATCTGGAAGCTGCTGATCATCAGTTTCAGGTGTTTTCTATATATTGGGAGTCCGCCCTTCCCTGGTGCTGGCTGCTACCAGTTATTATTTTAGAGAGACAATTTAACAACCACCTGACAATCAGCTGATGGTTGCCTGACAATTCTTGGTTGGGAGCGGGGAAGTGGGGATGTGAGGGTGCAGGTTGGGTTGTGGGGGGCTCTCTTCTCTGCTAATACTTGCCTAACTACCCATTCTAACACTTGGAAGACTAACTAACTCAGGTTACTCTGGGTACCTATGATTTCACATACCTAGACACAATGAGAAAGGTTGAGATAAACTTAGTCACCAGAATTTTACTGTTGGTACATCCAATTACAATAATTTAGTTATCCTCATTATTTTTTTCACAAAGTAGTTGTGAGAAACCAGAGAATACACTCAATAAACTCCCTGGCAGTAAGGCATTTTCAACCTTCGTATATCTGATTCCTTATTGAGTTGCAAATACCAGCCTAACTAAAGAAACAATGCTGAATTTGTGTAAATGTTTCACTTTCATAAGAAATTGAATGAATAAACTTCAGAATAAAATCCACAATTAATATCTGCTGTATCCATATAGCAACTTTTATGTTATAGAGTGTTATAGAGTTGCCCTGTGTTTTAATCCCTACCGCCAGAGGTTGTTGGGTTACTATTCATAATTCTTCTTAATTCCTGGGAATTGTATGCTACCATGGGCAATGTCTTTGAACATCATATGTACTCATTAAAATTTTGTTACCACTTGAAAGACAGATTGGGGAGTTGAAATAAATTATAATGTTAAATAAACCCATGTGTGTAATATTTATAAACCTAACTATAATGTTGATATTATAAATTATGATATATTATAAATTATATATTATGTTATACATATTTATATTATTTATAGATGTGATATCCAATTAAACTGTAGACTATTGTGGGAAATTTTTCAAATAAATTTGAGAGGTTATAATTTCATTGTACCTTCTTCAGTTGGAAATGTTGGGTTTGAGCCCACTTTGAAAGAAGGACCAACAGTTGAACATCACACACATAAATATATGTATACACCTATTTATTTCAATATGTAATTCATGACATAAAATTTATTATAAATATATTTCCCTGCCTCTAAATACTCACTACCACTACCACTTACCCATCACCAACAAAAGCCTCTACAATCTGGTAATCTAAGGCACACTTCATTAAGGGAAATTTTAATGTAGAAATGAAAGTCAATGAGTCAAATTTCCACTTAGATTGAAATGCTTATTTTTTCTTTTTAAAAGTACAAGTTGAATGTTTTTAGAAATGGCATAATGCAGCATGACGGCAGTTTATGTGAATTAATGCTACTTCCAAAGGTACCTAACTCAAAGTCAGGAAAAAGCAGATATTGTATAAGAATCTGAATCCACTTTGGGAGGCCGTGGCAGGTGGATCACGAGGTCAAGAGATCGAGACCATCCTGGTCAACATGGTGAAACCCCGTCTCTACTAAAAATACAAAAAAATTAGTTGGGTGTGGTGGCGTGTGCCTGTAGTCCCAGCTACTCGGGAGGCTGAGGCAGGAGAATTGCTTGAACCCAGCAGGGGGAGGTTGCAGTGAGCCAAGGTCGCACCACTGCACTCCAGCCTGGCTCCTGGTGACGGAGTGAGACTTTGTCTAAAAAAAAAAAAAAAAAAAAGAATCTGAATCAAAGCAAAACATTTCATCTCCTGTCCAACATTGCAGCCACTATCAAAAAAATGCATCATACAAATAATCTTTGCCAGAAATGTCCAATTTGTTAAACGAATAAAATAATTACTATACAAAAAATAGTTTCCAGAAGTCTGTGATCTTTTAATTGAAGACATGATTAATAGAACATAAGTTGCGTTTGCCATACCCTGCATAAGAATAGGACCAGGTTTGCTGAAAGCCACTTAAACAGAATAAAGGGCATATAAACATTTAATGAAAGCTCACTGCTGCTAACACACAATGAAACCCTCAAAGATACAAAGTGCTTTTATACTTTTAAATGACCTCTTAGTACCAGCAAACACAGCAAACAATAGACTTTAAAAAATACTTCGACTGAGTCAGGAGCAGGATTTTATTTCTTTGTTTTTAAAACAGCACCTTATCATTTTAGAAATCTAGTGCAAAAAGGGGTTGCTTAACAAGGGTACTTACAATTACTGATTTTCTAATGTTAAGAAAAATAACTTTATTATTAACTGTTTACAGTTTACCAAGTTCCAAACTACCATTTTCTCCTCTGTTCTTAAACCTGTGCCACTAACATATAAGCCCCAAAACTACTTTTTTTATGTTTTAAAATAGAAACCAATAGCAAAAACATTTCATTTTTAAAAGATACTATCTTTTTATTATGGGACCTTAGCTAGTACTACATATAAAACAATCTTTTGACAATGTATATGTCCTGGCAATAAACGTAGGATACACAGACCATATATTCACAGTGGAAATTAAAAAGGCACTGGTAAATTATACAGGAAATCACTAGAACATAAAGCAATAACTGTAGAGGCACATTGTCCTCTAAAGGGGAAAGTAATTCGGTGGCTCTCTCTTTAAAACCTCTACTGCATTCCTCTTGCCATAGGTATTGGATCCCACGTTGGTAGGTGAGAGGATGGCACCAAAGTTGTTGCCGGAACGACCTAAAAAATCTGCCAGGCGATGCATTGAACATGTGGCGGTGTTGCATTTCCGTGTTTCCACCTGATGGCTGGTAACAAGCAAAAATGTGAAAAGTTAGAGCCTTAGAATTTTACTTGGATCCAGCCACGTGACATTAAACGTCTTATATTGATGAAAACTAAAGACACACTTTTCAAACAAGTAATTCAGTGTTTTGGTTTGCAAACACCTAGATGACTGAGATTTTTTTTTGACACCTTGAAATGACAATTGGAAATCATATAACATCTTTCGTTACAGTCCATGTTGCATTTCTCTGTTAAAAGTCTTCCTTTGGAAATTCAGAATACATCTCATATAATCAGAATAACAGTGTCTTTGTCTTACGTTTTTAAAAATCTTGAGGAATTTATGTTTTAATATATAAAAAGAATTTAGAAATGTAAAATTTATATGTAATCTGAAATAAATAGAAATTTAAAAATAATTATTTCTACATCTTTCCAACAAGAATAAAGCAGTATCACTTAATCTTTAAGTTCTTGAGTTAATTGAATCAGGAGTGTTAAGCAAGAAATGTCAGAAGCGAATTCTGCAATATGCAACACATGGATGAACCTTGAGGACATTAGGTTAAGTGAAAGAAGCCAGCAACAGAAAGATAAATACCACTTGGGTCCATGTATATAAAGTATTTAAAATAGTTGAATTCATGAATCAAAGAATGGAATGGTGGTTATTAGGGAGAGGAGGAAATAAGGAGTTACTAACTAATGGGTGTAAAGCTTCAGTCAAGCAGGGTGCCTAAGCTCTAGAGATTTGCTGCACAACATTGTACATATAATCCAGAATAAAACATTGCATGCTTAAAAATTTGTTAAAAGGGTAGATCTTCTGCTTCGCTCTTGCCACAATAAAATGAAATATAATAAAATAAAAAAGAGATAATGTCATAAAAAGTATGTCAAAAAAAGAGAATGTCATAAAATATCAAAAAGAATCAAATTTATCACCTGCTCAAGTACTCTATTGCAATGTGAGAGTTTTCTTACTTTTAGCATAAATACATTTTCCTGCTTGGATCTTATGCTTCCAACAATTTTAATGATAAGACTAGGCTAAGTGTTAAAAATCAAAAGACTTTTTATGTCAATGGTATTAATAGTCACCATATTTTTCTAGCCACCTGGAAGAAGTGCATAATAATATTTATAAACTCAGAAATCATAACCATGAATTAAATAATTCTATTGATTTTAACTTAGGTTTTAATTTAAAACATTTATTTGTATGCCATCTCCATATTTTTGACTGCCTTTTGTTTCAATGTGCTTTCAAAATGATAGCAGAAATAGATGCAGAATAATAACGTTGCTTCTTTTTTGGTGATTATTAGGAAAGTTAGGGAAATGTTTTAGTTTTCAGCTCCATAGAAATCAAAATATTGGTGAAACTTAGGGTAAGTGGAAAATGACAGTTATAGGGCTAAAATCTCAATGTCCAGGAGCCGGTGGATATGCGTAATTTGGGACTTAAATGCATGGATTTATCTCACTGTGTTTACCTTGTATGGGGAATATTTCATTATCTCTATCAAGTAGAGACAGTCTAAGAGTAAATGTTTAATAATCTCATGTTAAATTTTTTTTTTTAATTTTTACTCTATTTCCTTCTAAATACAGAAAATTTCTTACAGCATCAGGTGAACTGGATATTTGTTGAATGTAAGTGCATGCTGACAAATTATTGGACAAATTATCTGGGCAAACGAAACCGCTTTGGAATCTAATTATTTAATCTATATCAATCTCATTCACACTATCTGTTCAATTATTTATTTTTGAAGGTACAGTAAATGTGACCAATGTACATTTCAAAAGAGGGACTTAATACTTTAAGGATTGAACTAGTAATTTCATACATTTGCATTAATTCTAAAATACTAACTTTTCTTGAAAAACAGGAAAAATTGGAATTTGATCAAAACACCTCAAAAAAAGCAATAAAGAAAAATTATGGGTCGAATTGAGAAGGTTCAAAGGGAATATCTGATTCAAGATATGTTTAGCATGTGACTGAAGCAGAATGTGAAATACTTTATATGCTAAATGCTGAGTAGTATTTTGATAATTGGTTGGAAGTTCAATAATAGAATTTTAAATTGTTATAAATAAGATGCTACCTTGTTTGAGTTAGCTAGATGGACCATCATTCTGCTTAGAAGAAACAGTAAGAGCATTTATGTTTGTAACATAATTGTGAAATTGCTTTCCTAAACAAGACCTTTCATCTAAATATACTCTTCAGCATATATAAGAGCACATCTAAAACAATCTTTAGGATGGAAAAAGATGTCTGAAATGGTTAATAAAAGGCACATCCCCGGTTTCAGGCATTTTTTTTTCCCTCACTGACTACCTGGACAGGTAACATACTAGCTAGTAACAACATTAAAGCTTTTGACCACTTATAGGCACATACACACATGGAAATTCTTGACTTTAAGAAGAGTTTAAACAAAGATGACAATAAGCCAACGTGTAACTCTTAAATTGCCTCTCTTTTAAATGGTCTCTCCAGAGTTTCAAAAATGACTTTAAAGTGAGTAACTGCTCTCAGCTCTTAACATTCATCTGTGGAAGCATGTGAGCTCTTTCAGGGAGGTCCTAGTGATTATATCTTGGAATCTATGTAATTATGTTTTTGACTTTCCTTTGATTACCTGCCAGGAAGATATTTACAAGGGAATGTAAAAAAAATTGGTGGGAAAATATGTGATCCTTTTGTCCTATTTCATACTTTTATAAATTGAAAGAAATCTCAGATGAGATGACTAAATGTTATGAGGAAAATGACATTGAATAATATTAGCTTTATTTTTTAAAAAGAGTTTAAAATTTGAGGCATTTCCCATAGATTTTCCTAGCTTTCTGTGAGATACATAGAATAGTACATGATTTAACACCTCAGCATGATAAATCATACTCCCTTTAACAAGTGTTCAAGCATACTTATTTCAGGCAACACATTAAAAAGCAATTTGAAGAATGTTTCACAAGTATTTCCAGTAACAATTCAAAGTTAAAGATTGTGAGACTAATGTCAAAATAATTGTATAATAAGTAATATTATATTACATAATGCTCTATTTCTAAGTGAAACTCCTCTCATAACAATCTAATATCTATAAAGACATAATGGTCTGGTTTCAGTGGCTCACTCTTATAATCTCAGAATTTTGGGAGACTGAGGCAGGAGGATGGCTTGAGCCCAGAGTTTGAGACCAGCCTGGGCAACATAAGGAGACCCTTTCTCTATAAAATAAAGATAAAACAATTAGTTGGGTATGGTGGCGGTTGCCTGTGGCCCAGCGACTTAGGAGGTTGAGGTGGGAGGATCTCCTGAGCCCAGAAGGTCAAGGTTGCAGTGAGCCATATTTGTACCACTGTACCCCAGCAGCCTAGGTGACAGAGAGAGACTTTGTCTCAAAATAAAACTTAAAAAAGAGGGTAAAGTTGCTCAGTAAATTTCTATACCTATTGAAAGAAAATATCAAGATAAAAATAGATACACTAGGTAATACTACTGATTTTCCTGTCATCATTCAATTATTCTGCTTATCAGAAACTTCATGTCATTTTAAAAGTTATGTTTAGCCATAAATAAGCAAATAGAAAATTACAGTTAGTTCTGAGAAGAACATCCTGTAAACTAAATAAGTCCTGAAATGACAAAAACATCTGATGATGATTCTTGCTATTTATTATGCGTAGGTGCTGTAGAAATCCTTGCATATTGCTATGGGTTTCCAACAAAAACTTCCTCGAATGAAAGCAAAGACAAGATGATGATCATTCTAATGAGAAGAGTTCTAATATGACAATGCACACTCTTTACAAAGGAAAACTTAATTCTCCTTGGTGTGAAAAAGTGTGTAAGTTCAGTCCCGTAAGACTCTATGGAGCAAAACTGATTTAGGCACAAAAAAATCCTCACTTTATTATTTATGACTTATGCATGGATTTGAACCCAATAACCCTTTAAATAGATGGAGAATTACAGTTTTAAGGTTTCAGTGTGAAAATTGTAACTACTCTTAAGAGTTTTATGTGACATAGCTTTTAGACTTCCTTAATTACCATTTAAATGACCTTTCATAATAAACCTTCCCGGGAAATCCTGACATACAGGCTACCTATTGAAAATAATTTTAAAAAGTATTAATTTAAATTTATAGCAGCACTGAAGTAATACGAAGAATGACTTTTTATAATTATGTTTCACTAACGGAATAGCTAGCTAACAATATAGAATAGATCCTTAAACAGCAAATGATTTTTTAACTAATTATTTTAGATTTCATTTCTTGCAAACATTAATTTACTCTTGATTATTTCTACACATTTCCATTTCCACAAGATGTAAAAATTTTGAATATTTCCAGAGTCATTTGAGGAAAACAAAAAATCTATGTAAATATACAAAAAAAAATCCACTTGATATAAAAATATATGCTTTAGTTAGGTTTCTCCAGTTTGTTTCAGTATCAGGTTGGTATAGGATATATTACTAACTTTTGATTTTTTTCCCCGCTTCATGTTCTGGCTTTGCTCCTCTAAGTTCCAAGAGCATATTTCTTGACAAAACTGGAATTATCCATTCCTGTCTGTCAGAAGTTCCATCAAGTTCTTAAGCATGATATAGTCAGAAATCTAATGGCACAATGTCTGTTAGTTACGCCACAGTATTTAATTCTATTTTTCCCAACTTTACAAAATAAACAGATTTTAAAATTACCAACCTTTCCATGGGTGTAGCTTTCAGAGAGTTTATTGCAACAGACAGCATGATGAGAAATACTTTCAGCTTTAGGATGCACATTGCTTCTCAAATTTTCTGCAAAGAATATTCCAGCACTGAAATCAAGAGATTTCGTACAGTTCTAATTGATGTAATTTTAAATTAGAGACTAGTTTTTAAAGGAAACATTTTTTAATGTAATTTACAAGGATCAAAACTTTTATTGACATAATCCCTTAATACTGTCCACTTTTCAAGTAATTTCACGATTTTTACTTTCCCAATTTCCTTCTCTAAACATTCTGAACATGTATATTGTAATACATTCTCCCTTTAGCCTTTCTTTGAAATAAACCATGAATTTAACACCAAGTGTGCATTTCTCTAAATAAATCTTTCCCAGAAATAGTAAATTCTTTACCTTTTAATATTTCAATGTCAGCAATATCAGCAAATGCCTTTGATAGAAAAAAAGCTTCATGAAAAGAGCCCAAACTTGTATCCACTGGAATATTTACCCCCTCATTTGCTATCTAGTAATCCAGCTCTTATATACCTCTCACGCCTTTCTCAGCTCAAGCAGCTCAGAGAGCCTCTGTCATTAACTTCCATCCCTATGGATAGAAAGTACCTCACAGGCAGCAGAAGCAGATGGGTCATTATTACATTGACTCATCAGTAAATATTAACGTAGCAAATACAGAGTGTCTTTGTGCAGTTAATGGTGTGTTATACATGACAGAAGTTTGAATTTGCCATCTTTGTAACACATGAATGAATTTTCAAGAATTAAGTGCATGTTACGGTAAGGAACTGATAGAAAGGAGTAAGGATAACAACAAATGTGCATATGTGCAGACAGAGAAGTCACAGACATTGAAGAGGTATACCTAAACCCATGTGACCTCAATGGCTGAACCCCATAAGGCTTCAGACATAAAAGGAGATATAAGGGGAGGGTGTATAAAAAGGGTAAAAGAGAAATCAAAAGTCATTTACAATGAGGTGAGGGGAGATTTAAAGGCACAAGAGTAGCAGAGACCTACTCTGTGGTAGGGATTATTGTAGGTACCAGAGATAGGGCAGTGAACAAAACAAAATTAGAATGAAAAACTCTACATAACCAAATGAATAAAAAATTCATTTGTCAGCACTTAAATAGAGATGCATAACTATATGTAGTCAAGCAGTTTTTGGTTGACTTTTTCCATTCATTCTTATACAAAAATTTTACAATTATTTTGAAAGAACAGATTTGCTTCCCGTTAGCTACACGAGAAAATTATGGGGCTGGATGCGGTGGCTCACAACTGTAATCCCAGCACTGTAGGAAGCAGAGGTGGGCAGATCATGAGGTCAGGAGTTTGAGACCAGCCTGGCTAACACGGTGAAACCCCATCTGTACTAACGATACAGAAACTAGCTGGGGATGGTGGCGTACCCCTGTAATCCAGCCAAGATTAAAAAAGAAGAAAAAGATGAATGGAGTACTTTGCAGTTTGTCTTTTAAAATGATTTGGTTTTTAAAATTTTCTCCAAATTGCTCTTTTTTTATTTCTAAATTATATTTGTTATATTAGTTATTAATGTAACAACTCAATGTCATGTAAAGCAAATCAAACAAATTTCAATTGTCAGTAAAAATGTGCATGCCTATGTAATCTTAAAAAAATTGAAGTTTTCTAACTAGGAACATAGTTTATTGATTTAATATACTTCTTAAAAGCTTAGTAACATAGTTTGAAGGTGTTTGGTAGAGATTTTAGGAGGAAAGAAACAATTTTGTTTAGAATTCTTGTTCTAATTATTCAATGATTCTACAATTTTAATATTTCTGTGAAATTTACTGGTGTTCCAGAAGAAATATCAAAAGATTTGGAAAGATAATGGATTTCCTGTAAAAAGATAACAACAACGCGAATATGAGGTAGGAGGCAGGACTAGACTCCAGAAGCAGAGCTTGAACACCAGACCTCAAATTGAGAACTAGCAAAAACAGGGCCAATGGGAAGCAGCTTTCCATAAGACACGCCCCCTAGTGTGCCAAATCAGTTTACCATTCCCATAGCAACACCCAGGAGTTACTGCCTCTTTCCTTGGCAATGATAGGATGACCCAAAGTCACTACCACTTCCCTTGAAATTTCTGCATAAACCACCCCTTAGTCTGCATGTAGTTAAAAGCGGGTATAAATATGACTGCAAAACCGCCCTAAGCTGCGGCTCTCTGCATCTGGGGTAGCCCTGCCCTGCAGGAGCAGTCACAGAGTTACAACGGCCAGAGCTGTAACACCGCCTCTTCAATAAAGCCTCTTTTCTTCTACCTCCAGCTTGCCCCTGAATTCCTCCATGAGCAAAGCCAAGAAACTTTGAGCGCTAAGCCCCATGTTGAGGCTCCCCTGTCCTGCATCAAATACAGTGATGTAGAAAGGATACGAGGGACAGTGACATTAAAGTTCAAAAATACGGCTCAAACAATGTAGTTAGTGCTGAATCCTGGACCAAAGCTTAGCTTTCTGCCTCATGGTCTAGTGTCCATTTAGATAAAAATACTTACCTGTTACCTACATTGTTATTTATTTTATTTTCATAACCTTTTTTTTTTCTCGTGAATATGTTACGGATGCCAAACATAACATTCAAAATGGGTTCTCTCTTACCTTAATGTTATAAGCAAAATGTTCTACCTAATCTTGGCTCACTGTAATCTCCACCTCCCAGGTTCAAGCGATTCTCCTGCCTCAGCCTCCCAAGTAGCTGGGATTACAGGGGCATGTCCCCTCACACTTTGATATTTCCATTCCTTCTTGTGAGCTTAGCCATAAAAATATGATTGTCTTAACTTTTTTAAGTTCTAGTTGTCTTTAGTGGGAGGGCTCTTCAGGATAAAGTCATACTTCAGGAAATAGAAGCGTGTATGCACATTTTAAAGACTTCTGAGCTGTATAGCCAAATTCCACTCTGTATAGGTTGTAATAATCTATACTCCTCTAGAAATGTTTCAATGGCTCTGATCTTCTTAAAATTCCCAACACAGGAAATTATAATTAAATAATATACATGGATCATAAAGAAAAGTAGTATCTTTGTGTTAAGTTGAATTTTTTTTGATAGTAGTGATTTAAAATGTAGTTTTGGACACTTGTGCAATTTACTTTTTAGTTACCTAGAGATATAGATGCAGATATTATGATAGGTCCGATCCTGAGATGGGGAAAGCTTTGCCCATAGAGTATATAATACGAGGAGTATATGTGCAACAGTAAATTAAGACAAAGGTGTTTCTCAGGAAACACCAGAATTCATGAGTCATACTGAGAAGCAGGAGCCAAAGAAAGGTCTGAAGTGCTCAAAGATGACTTATTGGGAGCTATCAGTAGTGTCAGCAATCGAATGAAGAAAAAAATTAAAGAAAGAAATGTTGTTATGAATGTTACATAATGGGCCGGGCGCGGTGGCTCATGCCTGTAATCCCAGCACTTTGGGAGGCCAAGGCGGGCGGATCATGAGATCAGGAGATCGAGACCATCCTGGCCATGGAGAAACCTCATCTCTACTAAAATACAAAAAATTAGGCGGGCGTGGTGGCATGTGCCTCTAGTCCCAGCTTCTCCAGAGACTGATGCAGGGGAATTGCTTGAATCTGGGAGGCGGAGGTCACAGTGAGCCGAGATCATGCCACTGCACTCCAGCCTGGTGAAAGAGCAAGACTCCATCTCAAAAAAAAAGTTAAAGGAATGTTACATGATGAAGGTAAATAACATAGGAAGAAGGCTAAAAAATAGAAATTTGAATTTAAAAGTAAAAATTTACTGATAACCACAGCTAGAATTTTCACGTAGGGACAGAAACAGATACAATGGAATAGCAGGACAGCCCTGAAAAACTATTAATGTAGATTCAATGTATCTTAACATATTGAGAGTCAGGGATCTTTAGATACTATGACAGAAGATATTGATTCTTTTTTTTTTTTTTCTGGAAAATGCTCACGTGCACATACAATCTAAATATTGAATGCAGTATCTAGATATTCACATTTCCTCTGACAACCATCTTTATCTGGATTCTCTTATTGTCACCTAATTGAACAGGTTTCATCATAGCAGATAGGAGAAAGACCAGTACCTTCAGGAGAGGTTTGAGTAGGTTAAGGTAACATGTAAAAAAAAATACCTAGCACTTAGTAAACAAATGTTCAGTGAACGTGTGTTGATTTTTCAGGAGCCATCAGGAAAGGAGAGTTTAGCAAGAAAGGAGAGGAAAAAGATAGTTGGCATAGTGTCCCCAAAGAACAGAGAGGCAATGGGATCATGAGTGTAATGGAGACATTAGTGTTTTAGGGCCGATGGAAGTGAACTTTGGAAATATCAGTTTTTTCAGAATCTGCTTTATGTAATGCATTAGAACATTCTTATGCAGTATCTCCCATAATCTTCAAACAAGCCTGCAAAGTAGGAAATGTTACCTTTTACAGTGAGCATTTGAGTGTTTAGAAAGGTTCAGTAACTTTTTCAAATTCTCCTTAGGAGTAAAGCAGAAATTCTTCTGTTGCCTGTAGGGTCTTAACGTGGTCTAGCCCCCTGGAACTCTCTCAGTTATGAAGGTGAATTTTTAACAGGAATTCTTCAAAGCTTTATTACAGAGGAGTGCAGGTATCTGCAGCCTTTTGAAAGTGAGGTTTTGGAGTTAGTTTACTTACCATCCCAGCAGGTAGGTAACTACTCACTATGACAGAGAAAAAAGGAGAGTTACTAGACCACCAAGAGATGCTTAATTTATTTTCTGCATCTTGGCAGGGCCAATGATATCTCAAACAAAGTCTATGAGTAAATTACATCTATTAGTTATTCCTGGGTCTAACCAAGAATCTTTTTGCCATTGTCTGATGAATTTGATTATTTAGTGCCTCTAACATGGTAGATGCCCTCTGGTGGGCGTTAAAATGCCATACAAATCGCTTCACATTCATACCCCTTTCTATAAATTCACCTGCATGCCTCATTTTCAGAGCTCCTCTGTCCCTATTTTATAAGTTTCTGATTAAGCAGCCAAACCATTTTCCATTGCCCTTGAATTTTTATGCAACCTTGAGCAACTTCTTTTTTGTTTGTTTGTTTGAGACGGAATCTCACTCTGTCACCTAAACTGGAGTGCAATGGCACAACCTCTGCTCACTGCAACCTCTGCCTCTCACGTTCAAGCTATTCTCCTCCTTCAGCCTCCCAAGTAGCTGGGATTACAGGTGCGTGCCACCATACCTGGCTAATTTTTGTATTTTTAGTGAATACGAGGTTTCACTATGTTGACCAGGCTGGTCTCGAACTCCTGACCTCATGATCCACCCGCCTAGGCCTCCCAAAGTGCTGGGATTACAGGTGTGCTGCCACTTCTTTTTTTATACAAAGTAGGTGATCAGGTGCACCTCTTGAAGCACTGCTAACTGGGAAGATTGCCTGTCATCTCGGTCTTTCACAGTACCCCTGAGTGAGGCTCTAGAGTGGCAGCAATTCATTTGTGGCTTGTATTCTCATGTTGAGCTCATCCAGCTGTAATCCAAGCTCAGTCTTTTTCTGTCTCCTCTGTGAGCTG